TTTTTACACATATGGATGGACAGGGTTTTTTACAGTAGGTGTCTGTGATTTGTTGGCGATAAATTTCAACAATAAACGGACAGCACACAATCCACTTGTTTTAAAACAATATATATATACATATTCAAAACCAGTCGAACGTATGTACAAAATATTCGTTTCACTATTTGTTATCACAGTTGTATCCAAAGCTTTAAATAATTGTCTCTTTTTCGTTAAAGTCTACACAGGCGGGCTCAGTTACTTTAGAACACCCTATGAAAAGACAAATCATTCTCCTCTACTCTGCTAATACAATACAAGGCTATGATACTTTAAAATCACCATTATAACTGTTGGTTACCACAGTTGTATCCAGAGATTTAAATAATTGTCTCTTTTTCGTTAAAGTCCACACAGGTGGGTTCAATTACTTTAGAACACCCTTTGACAATACACATTATTTGCATCTATCTCTGTTATTACAATACAAGATGTGATACATTCACTTTAGGAATCGCCACTATATGTTCTTTATTACTAAAATAATCACACAGTCTAACTTTTACTTTCACTTTCACTAACTTACCTACTTGCACTAAGTTGTTCGCCTATGACGTCAGTTCGCAGCAATTGAACCATGCAACAAATGATTTGTAAACAGTTATGTAAGCAAACTTGTCGTAAGTATTTCTTCTAAAATAACTTACTTTAATGCTTGCACAATATAGATTAAATAATACTTTCGTATCAAACTTAAAATGAACAGTCATGTATATCTAACACAGCCAAATTTCTCGTAAGTATTAATATTCATACTGTTACGACAGTATATATTAATATTCACTCATATGAAACACAACTCTCTCACAGCATGTGGAGAACTTTATACACTCAACAGGTGTACTGGGAAAGCTCTAATGAGGACCATGTGGTATTCTCTGTAGAGATCTTTTCACTCAACTATATCAGGTGAGTGATTCTTGTGAAATGTTCAATGATTTGTCATCTCAGAAAATCACATAGTAACTCATAAAGCAAGGGTTTCAAAGTCCTTTCAACTGAATTTTTGAATTTCTAACCATTACTCAGTTGTGCCAACTTGTGATGGTCTAGGCATTATGCTTTCTAAGACCAACTGTCCCAAATATGTTAATTAAGCAGCTGTCATCCAATATCATCAGAAAATATCTTATAGTGAAACTACTCAGTACCTCAGAGAGCAAAGGTCACAAAGACTTTTCAGTTCCAGTAATCTTATGATCAACAAACTATCCTAATTTAGATAATCGAGTGGTAATTAAACAATGTAGTTCATACACTTTGCATTAAAATACCACCTAATAGCTTAGAAAGCAAAGAATGCTACTTTCTTTCAGTCATTGATTCTTAAACTACATGATTGTTTTGCCTGCTTGGTTATCGGCTGGCCATCAGCAGCAGTTAAATTAAACGTTGGATCAATATTTTCCATCTTGATCTGGCACTTACTTATCTGATTTATCCTTAATGGCCAGATATATAATTTTTTGCTCCTTCCTCCTCACCTTCTGTCACAAAGTATGATAAGATTGTAACTTCACCCTCTTCTAGCTTATTGGTTTTCTTTAATTCCTGTTAAGTCAGTTTACTAGAGGTTTGTTGGTAACATACAAACATGGCTGGCCAATTTGTACTATGCACTTTTGCATGTCCTTCGACTGCTGTATCTCGTAAGTCATGTCTAGCTGCTGGCACATAGCAAAGCCATACCCATTCTCAAGACTAGCACATTGTTCCTTCACTGTCTTGCCATAACTCTTCTTCTGACACATGGCAGCCATTCCCAACTGTTGACATGCAAATTCTTGCGAGCCAACTAATGTAAACCTCAACTACCCCACATATTTTTTTGGACATTGTGGGACATATGCTCTATGGAAAGGACCATGCATCATATCTATTGGAGCAAGACTTCCCACCCAAACGGAAGCATGATCCAAGGCAACTTGTTCACCTCTGCTCAGTTGCATGATACACCATCATTATGTATAGTAATGGTTCATCTCAGTTAGTTCTGTTGGGATTAACATACTTAACAAGCACATACTTGACAATCTGTATTACCCACTCTACTAAACTATCAGATTGGGGGTGAGAAGTGAAGTGTGCATTTTCAATGACCATGAGTATCTATAGGTGACATATTAGCTCAAATGTGAATGACACCTTAGTTCCCTCCAGTATTTGTGTTAGGTCAAGTCAAGAGATTTCCATGCTTCAAAGTACTGTAGAGTATTACTTGTAACACAGGCTGAGAAACACTGCTTGGTGATTGATAACAACTGTACAATATACCGTTCTGCATTCATACTTACTTGTACAAGTGCTATAAGTTACATGCGTCCATGCTACATTAGTTACTCTGAGCTAGTCGTGCTTTACCTAGCTAAATGGTAAGGAGTGTCCATGCTAGATTTGGGTCCATCACTTGCTCTTCTTGCATCCCTTAAAATTTTAATTGTTTCATCCATTTATTAGTGGAATATCTTAATGTATGGCTTTTCATCACTATGGCAGAAATGGCTTAAAATCCTACACGGTGTCCATGATCAGGACATTTAACAAACAGACATGGTGTCATCCTGCAGTGAGGCAGCCCATAAGTATTTCCTGTTGAAGGCCCAGGCAGTACTGTATAAAGACTACAACTGCAAGCAGTTTCTTCTTCATTGTGTAATATTTGCATTGAAGAGTAATAAGCATACAACTAGCATACACAACTACTTATTCCACCCCTTCATGCAACTGTGATAACACTGTTCCAATTCTACTATCATCGGGACTGGTATATAGCAAGAACTCACAGTCTTGTCATAGTTATGCCAATATTAGGCTTCTACAATAATATGCTAAAGAGAATGAAATGTTTTCTTATATTCTCCATCAGAATTGCATCTTAACTTTAGTGAGAGCCAATATTGATGTGGTGATCTTGAATAAGTTGGAAATAAACCATTAATAGTATGATGCAAAACCTAACAAACTGCAGCAATATGTGACTCATATGTAAAAAACAAATATTGGTCCATATGTTTGTTGATTCACTGAACGTGTTTTTGACAGCACTGCAGGGGAGTTGTTTTGTTCAGTCCCGTGAATGGAGTGCATGTTACCGGACATATAAAATATGTTTTTAACAACCTGCTTTGATTGGCTGACAGCCATTGGTCCGATGAATCTTCACATAATTAGAACACCCATGTATCGTCTTTGGAGTCTAGCCATGTTTCAAGAACAACTTGGAGTACTTTGAGTCATATAATTTACTTCAACGTAACTACTAAGATGAAATTGCGATACTACTGTATGTACAGTATAAGCTAAATGACCAATCATTTTCATTATAGACCACGTGTCAATGTCAGATACCTGACTTGCATTTATATTAAGTGAGAAAGGAGGGGTGGTGATATTATTTTATAGCTTTGGTTTTGCCTTGACAAAGTTATGATATCACAAACTCTTATTATCATTCTTTCTTTTTAACAGTGTATAAGAAGCTAAATTTCTAACAAATTAATAAGATTACAAAAGTAAAGTCTGTCGAAATGTTAAAACATATGGAAAAAGAAATGACATTGGCATTCTTTGATAAAAGTTGCTTAAATCAACCATGGTTCATCTTTCCACTTTCTTTCTGAATCAAAAGCAAGCTGTACATTAAGGGACAGAGTGGACTCTGATTTTGAAGTATTACTAATAGACCAGACTTTACAAGTAATTACTTCCCCGGGGTTTTAATATATATATTTTTATGTGTTATAATGTAGGTACTACTTATTCAAACATTATCTGTCAATTCGTTGACAATATAAGGACATTAAACCATAGGCCAATATAATATTGGATGTTTAAATCATCGAAAAAACTCGTCACATCTTTTTGGCCTTTTTAAATTTCTCTATACATAGATCAAACAGAATCAAATTTACTCTCTACACCACCATCACACACAAAGCTATTCTTTAGATACAAAATATCTTACATTCATATGTTTATTCGACATTTATAAAACGTGTTAATGTTCTATATTGATTTTTAGCCTAAAATCAGCCTATATATTTCCTATCATGTGATTTTTAATAATTAAAATAAAGTTAGACTTATATGGTGATCAGTCATGCACAAATAACACTCTGACATTGTAACTATATAATCATTAAATACAGTAAATATTTCGATTAGCTGTATTTTATTTTTTTAACGAAATCCTACCACCAAAGATATTTCATTAAGCAGTTAACATTTTATTTTTAAGGCATTGTTCAATCAGAAGGTGAAACTTAGCAGAAACACAGACGCTTTCCTCTCAAAACACTGCGAGATTTTGGTTTCGGAAAACTCAGTTTGGAAAAGCAGATTTTGAAGGTAGCCAAAGAAACGCTTAAGGCATTGAAAGAGATCAGAGAGACACCTTACGACATGGCCGATTTATTTGCCAACAGTACAACCAATTTCATCTGTAGACTTATGTTTGATAGGCATTATGACCCCAAAGATCCCGAGTTCCTGAAAGTTCGCATTTTAATCCAAAATTTTTTTGTTTTATTACCTGGTCTTAAAGCCTTCACTCCCAAACCTTACGTGAGGTAAAGTTTGTTATAAATCCACAGATTTGTGATATTTAAAGCTTGGACATTGGTTTAGGGTATTTTATTAGCCAATACTATGTATGTATGTATGTGTGTGTGTATATATATATATACATGCTGTATACACACACACACACACACATATTTTTTGAGCTGATCCATTTTATAGCATATTAAGGAAATACCTTATAGCTTGTTAATTTAATAGAGATTATTTACTCTGATAAATATAGTTGTTGTTTTTATTTATAATATATATATATCATTGTTATATATAATTTATATAATACTTTTCTGTTAAACGTTTTGCTTCTTTCACATTAACTTATAATGCTGTTTTTTGGATCAAACTTGAAAGAATTAAAGAAAATATAAACAAATTACTCCAACTTCATTTGTATTTGGTTATGAATCAATGCATTTTTTTATATCGTTCACTGCACCTGTCTTGCAGGTATCTTCCCTGGTGTTTGCTTCCAAGAGAATATAAGGAAATCGCAAATGTGAAAAAAAGAGTTCTATAAAATAATTGATAAACTTATCCAGGAACACCAGAAAACATTTAATGAAAACAACTTGCGGGACTACATGGATGTCTATTTAAAAGTGATGAGGCAGGATAATTCGAGTGAATCATTTACATGTAAGTATATAAGTGTTCACTACATAAGATAGGAATGAACATTAACAATAAATCTTTATAATAATACTTAATACCTTCTCACTTTTGATACATCATACAGTACTAAGTTATCATTACGATTTAAAATTGAATAAATAAATAATTTAAAGCTCTTAATATAAACTATAATAATAATTTATACGAACTAGGACTGCAAGTCCCAAGAGTTAAAAAATTAACATTCATTGTCCGTAACAAGCACGTTCTTACAGAAGCAACACTTCAATTCGGGAAACTGTGCCTCACCTTTGGCTCAGCTGAAAGCTTAAGGCTTACAATTGTGGCGAATTTGTTATTATATATTTATTTTAATATAGATGTTTGCTTGAATTAAATTTATATTTACAAGTGTACATAACCTATACAGTTAAATATATATTGCGAAACTCTCGCCTATTCTCTAAAGTTGTAG